ATGCCAGATAAGATACTGTACACAACTGAGCTGTACCCGCACAGGCTAAGCCCCAAGTATGTGGCTTACCGGTAATTGGAAATGGTTGAGCAAAATTTCCAGTGAGACATGAATCAAGGCATTATGAATGTAAACGCTGATACCTGTTGCTGCAAGCAAGACAGAATTGACTGGTTGTAATCTGTCCTGCTTTGCAGTAATCCTCTATGAAAGGGTCTTTGGGAACGACTGTGGACTCGCTTTCCTCCTCTTCCCTCATCATCAGTCTACTGAGCTGGCAGAGCTGATCCCCAAGGCTGATAGGGCAGCTGAGCCCTCAAATCCTGCAGGATGACCTGGGACTGCCTAGCCTAATGAATGGGCAGCAGCATTACCAGGCAAACCAGAAGTGGAGGGGAGGTCCTCCGTACACTCAGCATAGTCTTGCCTCGGCTAGAAAAGGCTTCGCACCTTTCCTGACAAGCAGCCTACAACCCATCTAGTCCAATATCGGCTTTCCAGGAGAGATGGGCACAGTTAACCTTGCACTAAGCAGATGTGGGTTCCTCCACACATCCCTGGTCATGAGAAGCTGGTTTATGCCCTGAGGCACAAAGTGTGAACACTTCCCATTTCTGTTTGCATTAGTCATAATCTTGGGCCTTTTTCTTATCAATATAAATTTACTTTTGATTCCTAGTGCCTTTTGGCCTCTATAGTATCCTGTGGCAGTGAGTTCCACAGTGTCCTTGCACATTTTATGTAAAAAAACAAACCCCTGCAAAAATGCATTTCTGTGTGTAACCCCATATTACAGGCAACACATTGTTAGATGAACACCTTGCTGGGGTTGTTTGACCCCAGTACTCTTTCCTGCCATGGCAGGGGTTCGGACTAGATCTACTCAGGTCCCTTCCAACCCTAGAAAGTATGAAACACACCTTTTTTCCAGACCCCAGGTGCTGGTAATTGGAGTGTGTATGATATGTGAGGAAATACGGTAAAAGCTGTTTCTGACGCTTACGGGGCAAAAGCAGAAGTAAAGTCTGCACAAATGGCACAGGGAGCAGAATAATGAGCAGGCTCAGCTCTGTCACTTAACAAAGAGAGAGCTTTTTTTAAAAAATTCATTCAGCCTTTCAAAGAATGGCATATGCAAAGAGATATGGTACTTTTGCCAACTTTCCATCCCAGGGCATATTCGATTCCAAAAGCCACCACTCCCTGCCCTGGCGCGCAGAGCAAAACCCTGGGAAAAAATAGGCTGGAGACAAAAAGGAAAAGAAGGGGGGAATGTTGGTGACTCCTTGCGCTTTACCAGGTATCACCATGGGGGTGGTCTCCCTGCCTCTCTCGGTAGCAGGGTGAAGAATAAAGCTATGCAAAATGTTTGCAACAGAACCAGCCACAACCAAGCTGGTTTCAGGTTCCCACCAACCTTTGGAAAATGCAGCAGATGAGTCTTACATGATTAGCTTTGTGCCACAAGCCTGGGTCTGCTGTTTGCTGAATTGGCCTGGCAGCTGCGGCGCTGCAATCATCAGAGCAGACTCACTTGTTACCGTGCACCCACCTGTTCTGGCTCGTCTTGCACTAACACTGTTAGCAGTGCCAGGCCAGGCCTGCCCTCAGCTACATTTGCACAGCACCCACAACAGGGCCTTGGTCCCTGGTCTAGGAGCTATTGCCGTACATATATTGCCTAACCTGCCAGCTAAGCGGAGATTGCAGGTTGCATTGCTTCTCCACCTCCCGCATGGCACAGCAGGAGCACAGTGATGGCAACAGGGGTATGCTTGGAAAGGAAGGCATAGCTCTCTGCTGGAGCCCTGAGTACACCTAGGAGACAAAACGGAGGGGGCTGCCAAAAATACAGATCGCATAGCCCAGTGCACGCTGAGCCGCAGCAGAGGCTGGTATGGAAACTACGGACACGAGGGATGGCAACCCCTGATATGCCAAGTGCTCCATCCCTGTTTGCGTGCAGGGTTGTTCCATGAGGTGGGTTGCCTGGCATCGCAGCCAGTCTGCTTTTAAATGACTCACTCGGTGGCTCTTCCCCTGCGTGGGCGTGCTGCAGTCTATGGGAAGAGCCTCTCAATAGCCAACCAAAATGTTCCCATCCTCACTTTGCACTGTTATCCGTGAGTGCTCCTGATGTCAGAACTGCAGTTATGGCACCCCAGATGTGATTCAACACCTGGCCGGGTGGCCTCGACTGCCTGCTAAGGATGTTGACTGAACTGTATTAAAAAAGATCTTTACTGTAGATAATTAAGATGTTACCTGCCAGCAGGTTAAGACTCCTCCTAGTGCCTATAAGCTATGGGTTTGGCTTGGGTTGTTGAAGTGTATGCATATATAATCCCTCCCCAAACTTTTTAAGTACTTTCTAATTCCTTATTAAAATATTCTTGGTATCCAGTCCAATACCTGGCCCTTTTGTCACCCTGCTGGCCAGCCTCAGTGGTAGGGAGTAGCAATGGTTTCCGCTGAGCGCCTGTATCTTATGTGAAAGGCTGTTTCCTTTTATTACTGACATAGGGAGGTTGCACTGGGATGGGCTTTCCTGCTTCATTGACTGCAGTCCTCGGCTCTCCGAGGCAACTACATTCGTGCACCTGACAACATCTGTGCTCTAGGGGTTCACTTGAAATCCCTAGATCTCGCATCATGAGGCAGGAGGAGTCCAAATGCCCCATCACTTTTCCGTAGGCTGCAAGCTCTTTTGGGGCAGGGAGCACCTCCGTGGGCTGCATTCATCTGGCGACCAGCACGGTGGGTCCTGGATTTGTGGGACCACAGTATTTGTGAGCCAAAGGGCTGCAACAAAGCCAAGCCCCGGTCACCTAGTTTCAGGATCATGTTCAGAAGGGAGTTTGCACCTTTGCTGCACTGCAGTGCCTGGGGTTGGTGATGGTGGAGGTGGGCAGTACAGGACGGTGGTGTGTTTTGCCCTGTGCTGTTGAGGCTAGGTCAAGCCCTAGGTTCATGAGGCCGGGTCCTGTGTCACCAGGCAGCGGAGCGTGGATGCTGAAGGGGAGAGTGAACTGGGCATGTCCAAGGGTTCCTGCCCCCCCTCACTTGCAGCTGCCAGCATTTAAAGTTGGGGTATTTCTGTACCCCTCACTCCTGAGCTTGGTAGCTACTGATGCCCCTTTCCTCCAGGAATGTGCCCAATCCCTTTTTGGTCCAGTCCCTTTGCCCTGCAGCGGGGGAAAGCTGCCGGCTGTGCTGCGTGCTCTTGGACATGAGGTGGGCAAGCCCCTGGGAGCCCCATCACCCCCTCCAGCTCCCGCTGGGGGCCTGTGGGGAATGGCTCCCTTTCTGGAAGAGGTGGCACGGGATCCCAGGGCTGCTGGGGACACAGGGCTTGATCCCCTTGGCCAGTGGCCTGGCCCTGCCCTGCCTTGCCTGCCTGGGGTGGTACAGATGCCCGTGGAGGAGGGGGAAGGAGCAGCCAGGCAGCAGCTGGAGGAGGTGGATGAGACTTTCTTCAGAAAACTAGCAGAAGTAAAGGGGGGGTCTAATGGGGGACTTCAATCACCCCGACATCTCCTAGGAGGCCAATACAGCAGTGCACAGGTAATCTAGGAAGTGTTTGGAGAACATTGGAGATAACTTCCTGGTGCAAGTGCTGGAAGTACCAACTAGAGGCTGTGCTCTTCTTGAC